TCCACAACACATTTTTTTTTTTTTGCCTATGGTTCTGTACATCTAATAATGTGAACATTAGGACTTTTCTAACTTGTAATGCTCTTAGAAATTTCATTTTCATCAGCTGTCAACCAGAACATCCAGAACAGGAATAAACACATTCAATATATCCCTCATGAAGGAAAAAATGTGTAAAAAGAGTTTTGCTTTTTTAATTATTTTTAATTAACCTTTAGCTAATATTAAAAGTTATTGTGATGTACTTGTATTTGCTTTTGTTTTCTGTACATGAAAGCCCACCAATGATGTGACGCTATGTTTAACAGCTGCAGATTTCCTCCTCAGAAAGAGCTGATTTTATAACCTTGATGGAATCTGATGAGATTTTTTGAGACGTAAGTGAAAGATAAGCTCTCTGTTGTGATTTCAGTTCCTGTCTGCAGATAAAATAATGACTCAGCGAGACAGTTAGAGGTGACAAGATTTCTCATCCTTGTCTGGCTTAGTTATGCAGTTACAGTGCGGCAGATACAGTCAGATGGATTTACTCTAACATCTCACAGTTTTTTTTTTTCTTTTCAATAAACCCTTATGGGACTGTTGTAAGCAGCTACTGTAGAGTTGGATTTAGTGCTGCAGGCAATAAAATAGTCTTTTTGAAATAGTTGAGGTTTGATAGCCCTTGTGCAGTAAATCTTTCAGTTATTCTTAATTTTAGTTCTAGTTGAAAACCACACGTCACTTCATGTCTCGTTTGGATAATGTTTTTTTATTCTCCTTTGCAGAGCTAGTAGGGCTTGTAACTATGCATCTGTGTCTATAACGTACTGACAGAACTCACAGGTATTCTTGCTGGCTTCATCTATGAATAACCCAGTCAAAGGTATTCAACACTTCAGAGATTTTGCTTTTTTTTTTAAACTTGCATCCTTCATTTCATCTAGTAATTTTAATGATCACACAAAAGACAAGCTGGAAAAATGCAAAATGTTAAAAAAGTAAATATATATAAGGCTGATTTATTAGTCTATGGAAATTGATTACCCAAACCAGCTGACCCTATATAAAAAAAAAATAATTAAAAAGAAGTCAGCCTTATTAGGTCATAAATTAACTTTTACAGAAAATGTTTTCTTATTCAGTTTGACAAGCCACACCTTAATATAACTTTTATTAAAACCTGTTGAACAACATTAGGGGGCTCTCAAAAAGCAACACGCCATGCCCATATCTAATTACTTGATGAGAAACAAAGTCACTGACATCTACCTTTCTTAAAGTCGTAGGGAAATGGCTGTTATAACTGTTGCATTCCTGAATTCTCCTGAGTGGTGCTCGACCTTACACAAGTGAATAAGGTCAATGTGATTGGTCGATTATCAAGGGGTTTGTTGTGGCAGAAGGTTTGCAAGCAAGTTTGGTTGTGGCCGATTTGTCAGAAGCATCTTGCAAACCAGTTAGCAACTTAGTGCTAGTAGGTTCCCAATGGGAAATTCCATTGGGACCAAGTAGCACTAAATTGGTGACTTAGAAACGAAACTGTCAAGGAACGCTATGG